ATTAATGACTGCTGAGAAGAAGAAGCTATTAGGAACATGTCTGTTTTCCCTGTGGATACTTCCCGACCACCGTATTAGATGAATCGATTTTGAGAGTACCTCAGAGTTCCACAAATCAACAGATTTAGTGATTAGAATCATGGGGAAGAGAGACACTTGTTAAAATGCCACAGCCCAGACTTTCTGGTGCTTAGGATCTGGGTCATAAACAAGTACCCCAGCCCCTCCAAGAAGCAGGAGGCACCGTCCTTTATAGAGAATGGGATTTGCTTTGGTTTTGGTTGCAAAACCTGTTGCTATTTGGCTTCCTGAAATTTTAATTTTTATTATGAATCTGAGCCACCCAAACAATAATTTTGTCTTACAGGATCTCTAAGTCCCAGAAATCTGCTCCAACTGATATAAATAAAAATTGTAACTTCATTGGAGAGATATGGAGGTTTCTAATGGAAAACAGCCAAACCTCATGAGAAATTGGAAGCAGGAACTAGAAAGCAAGGCCTCTTCTCATGCTTGGGACCCCCCGTCCCCACCCGCCCCCAACACATATCAGTTTCTTCTTTGCCTGCATGTGGTAGAAAAGGACCAATCTAGGCAGATCTGTGTGTATCTCTCTTCAGGGGCCCAGGACTGACTTCACCTAGTAGCCTGTTAACAAATTCTTTGGAGAGAGAGAAAGTGATTGGCTCAGTTTAGTTCAGTAGCTGCCTCTAATCCAATCACTTGTGGCCAGGCTGATCCACTGCTCAACCAGAAGGTTCTTCTAATAAAGAGTCAGAAGAATTGAAAGGCATGCCAAAATCCACTTCCAAATTGAACCGCCACTGTGAATATGTGGTCAGTTTTATTTTTCCTGATCTTTCTTGAAGCACATATTCTAGAAGCATCTGGTGTCCGACCTATTGCCATTTATGCATGTATTTATTTACTTACTTACTTATATGAAGTATAGTTGACACACAATACTCTGTTTCAGGTGTACAACATTGTGATTTGACAATTGTATGCATTATGTTGTGCTCACCACAATGTTACCATCCATCTCCATTCAATGTTATTACAGTATTGTTGACTGTATTTCCTATGTGGTACTTTTTATCCCCATGACTTATTCATCTTATGGCTGGAGTTTGTACCTCTTAATCTCCTTCACCTATTTTGCCCATCCCCAAACCCCTTCCCCTCTGGCAACCTTCAGTTTGTCCTCTGTATTTATTGGTCTGTTTCTGCTTTGTGTGTTTGTTTTGGTTTTTAGATTCCTCATATGAGTGAATCATATGGTATTTGTCTTTCTCTGACTAATTTCACTTAGCACAATACCCTCTAGATTCATCCATATTGTCACTGTTGTTAAGATCTCATTATTTTTTGTGGCTGACTGATATTCCACTGTGTGTTCGCGCGCGCACACACGCACACACCGTTTTCTTTATCCATTCATCTGTTTATCTACCAATGGACATTTAGCCGTCACTTAGTTTTATACAAAAAATGTTATTGGAACATAGCCGCACCCATGCATTTGTGTATTGTCTATGCCTGCTTTCCCACTACAGTGGTGGAATTGAGTAGTTGATACAGAGATTACAATATTTACTGTTCAACCCTTCACAGGAAGAATTTGCTGACTCTGCTCTAGAATTTGATTCAGTTCTGTATCTCCATTGTTGCTAGTGATTCATGTGTGTCATTCTCACATCCCTCCAGCCAATGCAGGGGAAATTCCTGACCTTGGCTCATTTGCACACCACTCCCAGGATGTTAGAGATGCTATCTGGTATCTGTTTATTCTTCCTTCGACCCATGTTGCTTGGGACAGGGCAAGGCACCAGCATCCATACACATCCATGCTGGTTGACTTACAAAAAAAACAAAAACAAAAAAACGGTTTCTACAAATGCTATAGTACTTCCTGAGGTGTGAAGCACATTGGTAGCACTGATGATTTGCAAGGTGATTATATATTTTTTTAATTTTTTAACATTTATTCATTTTTGAGAGACAGGGTACAAGCAGGAGAGGGGCAGAGATAGAGGGAGATACAGAATCTGAAGCAGGCCCCAGGCTCTGAGCTATCAGTACCTGAGCCAAAGTCGGACGCTCATCCAGGCGCCACGCAAGGTGATTTTAGTTTAGTGCTTGAGATTTTTTTAGGTGGTACATAGAAAGTGATATTAAATAAAATTAAATCGCATCATGATAGAGTTATTTTCTCTTTATGTTTTCTTTCAGTCTTTCTCATTACTTGAACAAGAAAATCTCAGTTGATGACAATATGCCGTTAATAGTTCTCTAACACTTGCTAACATCATTTTCCCTTTTAACAAGGAGAAAACGCAGGGGCTGGTTTGGAACCTTCAGCAGCCAGCAATAGCTAGCTAGAATTTCCTAGCACTGCTTTGCTTTTATTTATTTTTATGCTTATTTCCATTTATGGCTGGTGATACTGGCTTGCCATTAATAGTGGTGATACAGAGTTTCCTTCTTCAGATAAATTTAGTTAAGTAAAAATGGGGCTAGGTTGTTAAAATGTGAAGCAAATACCAGTTTAGGTGATAGGGGAGAATGTGGAAAAGGTACATGAATGATTGATTGAAGTTTGGGAAACTTGTCTTTAAGTGACTGGCGTAGATACAAAAAAGTCCTGGTGCCCAGCGGAGGGAGTGACCCATTTGGTCTGAGCGCATCCCTGAGGGTTTGAGAGGGAGGTGACATCTGAGCTGAATCGCTGATTTTCTGGGCAGTGAAAGAGTGTAGAAGGATGTTGCAGGAAGTGGGAATAGAATATTCAAAGGAAAAGAAAGAAGATGATGCTGTCATGGAATTATCAGGCTTGAGGGAGTCACTGAAGGATTGTATGCAGTTGAGCAGCATTTTTAGAGCAATTGTTAGTTCCAGCTGGTTATTCTCTCTGAGCCTCAGTTTGTTTATCTGTAAAGTGGGGATAATGGATGCAACTATAGGATGTCCCCCCGCCTCGGGTGCATGGGGAATTCTCTGCCACCTGTCCTGCTTCTCCTCTGGTCAGGGGGCTGGGATGTCCAACCATGACTTCATTGACATTCAAGGTGTCCAGGGCCCTTCCCCTGTGTCTTGGACACCAAGAAAGGGATTGTTAGTTAGACGGTGCCTTAACCAGTGGTGATGGATCAGTGGGGCTTGAAACCAGCTCACTACTGAGCCCCCTTCTACTGGACTTGGGGGTCTTCTCAGCTGAAGATCCTTTCCACCTTCAGCCTCCTCTACCCATTTGTCTCCTGGCCAAGTCACGTCCCTGCCTCCTCCCTGCACTTGTCTCTTCCCCAGTCTTCTCTGGAACCTGGCAGCAGAACAGCCCGGTCTCCACCTGACTCTCTACGTCTTCGAACACTGGCCCCCTGGAGGCATTGCTTCTGCTCTGGGGAGGGCTGGGGAGGGGAAATGGCCCTTGGGGACCAGCGAGAGGACAGGGAAGACGGGAAACAAACTGAAGACACGCGGCCCAGCGCTTTGAGCCCCACCCCGACACGCAGGCTGGTGGGTCTGCATGGGGACCTAGTAGATCCCCGACAGGTAGGGCCTGCTCAGCTTGGCGGCCCTTATGTCTCTGGTGGGGCTGGAGGGGACAGGCTGAGGAAGGTCCTCTGGTAGTGGCAGAGTGCGCCGGGCACTTTCTTGCTAAGTGCTCTAAATTCCCTAGGTCTGCAGCACCATGGCCGCCCCTGGCTGTGATGAGAAAGGAGATGGTGAGAGCAGGAAATGGGGCCCCTGTGAGCCAGTGGGCCCAGCCTGGAAGCTTCCATGCAGTTAGATTCTAATTTACCATTAAGATAAGAGCTGAATGGAGTATGCCAAGCTGCTCTCCTGCCTCGAAGAGCCTTCCAGGCATCCCTCCCTCTGGCCTTGGGCCTCTGTTACATTCTCTGGTCCTGCAGCTGAGTCAGGTGTGAGCATTTTTATTTACTCAGCCACCTTCTGGAGCTCTGAGCAAGTCAAGTGTTTAAAGGCAGAGACTTAGAGTCGGTTAGACCTGAATTCAAATCCTGTCCCTGTCCCTGACTGAATTTGCTGTGTGAGGCGTCTTACCCCCCATGAGCCACTCTTTCCTGTAAAATGGGGTTCTGCAAAGTAATGAGAAATAAATGAAAACTGGCACATTGATAAGTGCTCAAAAATGTAGTGGTGACACAGTGTGTGCAGTTAATGCTTATGGCAATCTGATTGCTTCTTCCTCCAGGAAGCCTTTCTGGAAGGCCCCAGGCCCGATCAGGTCCCCTGCAAGGTGGTACTGCCCCATGCTTCTTCTAAGAGGCTTCTTGAAAATGGTAGCTGCTGGCCACTGTGGCATCTGGCATAGTCACAACCAGTGAAAATAATGATGTGTCCTGAGCCACACTGATTAACATGCTGGATTTGTGACCACAGCTGCATGGAAGGAAACCCCAGGACAACATGAGAGGGTGTTAAAATATTACACTAATCATCCCTGTAATTAATATCAGAAGTCTTTCTTCCTCTGGGCTACAGGGGCAGAGAACATGTCTGCTTCTTTATTGCTGTATTCCCAGTGCTTAGCAAGCTCTTGGTGAATATTAAATAATCGAGTGAATAAGGGAACAGGTGCCCCAAATTCAGTTTTATCAGGAATCTGCTCATTCCCTCATTCAACAAATATTTACCGAACCTCTACTATGTACCAAGCACTATTTCAGGCTCTTGGGTGACAGCAGTGAACAAAACCAGCAAAGATGCTTTCCCTCATGAGGTTTACATCCTAGCCCTGTTGGCTGGGCATCGATACATATCCCAAAGGGATCGATACTTGCTTGCTGCTGTTGGAACCTTCCCTACGGATTGGGTTTAGCCATTCAAAATGCGAAGTCTGTAGAAAACTTTATCCATTATTTCAGTGTCCATAGAGGGCATCTGGGCAGAGCTTGGAGCGGGTTTGAATGAACATCGGCTGCCCATGGCTTTCTGGGCCCTTCCAACCACCCTGACAGGCTTACTCTCTTTCCCAGGTCATGCTCTCAGAGCGGAAAGGCACAGATGAGCTCTATGCTGTGAAGATCCTGAAGAAGGATGTGGTGATCCAAGATGACGATGTGGAATGCACGATGGTGGAGAAGCGGGTGCTGGCCCTGCCCGGGAAGCCACCATTCTTGACCCAGCTCCATTCCTGCTTCCAGACCATGGTAACTTGTCCGGGGGCTGGGCCATTCCACGTCTAGGGCTTCTCCAGGCTTTGGCCAGAGCCATCCCAGCAGCACACACCCCAAAGAGGCACCTGGACCCTTTCTGTTCTGGAGACGGGAGGCTGTTGTGCCCAGGGGAAGCTGCTGAGAATTTCTGAGGTTGCCACTGAGAAGCTCTCCCCTAGGCAGATGCTGTTTCAATGAAGATAAAAGAACTCAGGCGATTGGTTTAATAACCAACAGAGCAGGGTCTTTCTCAGACAGCAAGAGGTGACTTGAGGATAGGAGCTGAGGACTTTTGGTCTCACAATATAAGATCTTACAGCAGAGCTTAGGGATGGGAATGAGTTGGGAAGGGCCACAGGGTGTGGGTTTAGACGATTACAGTCAGCCCTCCAGGCCCTCCAGATAAATGCTCAGGTACATTCTGCCGGTTGCAGGAATCTTCTTGAGGGAGGGGTTGCCTGAAATCACAGCCTTTAGGAGACTTCTAGAGCAGGGGGCACAGTGTCCTAGGCAGGGGCTAGTGAGCACAAAGCTGTGGCTCCCAAGAAAAGAAGGGGACATTTGTGTACTGTTTGCTATTAACTGATTCCACGTCTGTCTGTGAGAGCAAGGCCATCCCTTTAAGTAACCTCTTACCTTTTTCTCAGTTCAAATTAGACCCTGGCCTCCATGCCTAAGGCGTGGGTGGCCAGAGCCCAAATGCAAAAAGGTACAAAGTTAGTTCTTGCCTTTGGGGCTTCTAAAGGGCCAGTGACCCAGTGACTCCAAGAAGCTTTAAGGGATTCTTTAAGATTATTTCAATTCTGTGTGCTCTTACTATGCATGCTAATTTTAGAGCCCACCTCCTATGTGAGATGAGATGCTATTGTATGTTGCATATAATTTAAAGCTTGAGGCTTCCTGTCTTCTCCAACATCACCAAGTCCTGTGCTCTGCTGCATTAGATTCAACATTCCCAGCCCAGAAAGATCCAAAACTGGGTTTGGGGTGGGTTTTCTCAGTGTAGACTGCACACCGGGCTTAGAACTGCCCTGTGTGAAAGGGGCAGAACCGGAACTTGGCTACTTCCCTGTTCAAAGAAGTCTCTTAATACATTTTGGGGTCAGAGGGACCTGGGTTCAGATCCCAGCTCTGTCACTTACCATATTTGCCAAAGTAGGGTGCATGTACCCCTGTGCAATGTGGCCCTGGGTATGAAGGGTGACTTTGGCTGGTGCATAGATTTAAAATTACATTCTCCTTTTAATTAGTTTTAAGTTCTTCTGAATGCCTCAAGGAGAATGTTTCCATTTGGTGCCCACACACCTGTACCCTCTTTTTAACACTTCCCTTTTAACACAGAGTATCAGGCTTTGGGTTCTATGCCTTGGCAAACACCAGTTTCTAGGTCATATATATGTATGCAAAACAAACATATATATGGGTTTTTTTTTTACAGACTTTTTTCTATTTATGGCATAGTAAAGTCTCTCAATTTTTAAATTTTGAGGTATTATAAGACAAATATAAAAAACACAAAATAGATGTTTTAGTAATGAGTTATCATAAGGTTAAGTTCCTCAAAGCACCACCCAGGTTGAGAAACAGAACTCTGGCAGCCACTCTGGAAGGTTCTTCATGTTCTAATCTCAATCTCCCTGCAAGCAGTGGCTTGACTTCCTTGTGCGTCTTTATAGTTTTATCACTTGAGTCTTATCATCTCTTAATATGATAGTTTAATCTTTCCCATTTTTAGAAACTGGTTGTGTCTTGTAAGCCTTTTAATACAGTAATTTCTCCCCTCCATCCCTTCCTTTTATCTGTTCCTTCATCTGCTGAAGATCCTAGGCTGTTTGACTCAGACCATTTTCACAGTCTGGATTTGCCGATTGCACAGGTGTGGGGCTCTTGCACATGGTTTCCCTGTCCAGTGTGTCTCCTGCAAATTGGTAGCTGGGCCTAGAGACTCAGCCAGATTTGGGTCCAATCCCTTTGGTCAGAACGTAGAAGGCATGCTCTTTGGTTCAAAGGTACAGAACACCCCGTGTCTCTTTCTATGATGTAGGCAACCACTCTGTGCCTAGGCCCATTAGTGGTGGTACCCTAATTCTGTCATTTCTTTTTCATTTCCTAGTAGGAATGCCTCTTGGAAGGCAGGCTGCCCCGCCTCACTTACCTGGTTCCCCGTGGCACAGCTCATATAGGAAAGGCTTGATAAATGCTGGATTCTTCCTTGTTGTTGGACAGTTTGTCATGAATTGGTTTACGATTATGCTCCAAAGGTGACTAACACTTGCTTCTAAAAGAAAATGTTTGCCTAAAAGAACAGAGTCTGTGTAAAGAAAAATATTAAGGGAGAAACAGTTCGCATCCTTGGCATAGTCGTGAAGAGAGTTGCAAAGCCTGAGTTTTAGGGAATTAGGTCTTTAAGGCACTCAAGAGATGGCAGAGACAGGACCAGACTAGATTCTTAAACCTCTAGGTTCCTTCACGCTACATCTTCTCTTTTTCCCATTGTGGGTCCCCAGGTTTACCCACTGACATCAACAGTCAAGAAGGGTTTCAGTCTGATGAGAAGACCAAGAAGAAATCTTGTTCTCAAGCAAGAGGTTGGACTGACTTAGAGCACCATTTTCAATTTGGGTTGAATGAATTGAGATTGGAGGTATTAGTCATGTGTGACTAACATTAATTCATTGATGTACCGTATCTTTGTTAGTAATGTACTGCTCTAAAAATGATAGCAGAGTGGATTTGAGGCCATGCTTTTCATACCGTACTGCCTCACTCATATTTCATTATGCTCTCTGGCATTAGACAGTAGGGCTGGGGTTTACCTGGAAATTGTGTGGGGCCCTGGGTCCCCTCAAGAGGTGTCACATGTCATGGAAGAGAGACGGTACTGAGAACACACTTTCATGGATTCAAGTCTTGTGTAGGGATGGAGGCCCATGTGGGCGGCCACCTCATGGTCTCCCAACCCAGCAAGGCCAAGGGTGGAACAGATCGCCATCTTGTTGGTGTGAATCAGATGAAGTAGCTATACTGTCTCTAAGGGCTGCATCGTTTGGGGAAAAAGTAACTGTAAATGTTACACTTGTGCTTGGCTTGAGGAGATGCCCTCACTGCCTTAGATAGTATTTTTAAGCACATGTACTTTGATTTTACATAAATTAAATTTACTTAAAAGACACAATAATGCCTACTAACATGAGGCACAGGCTAACACTCTTAAGCCATGTGACAACCTTGGGATGGGTCCTGTCATCACCCCTCTAGGACGAGGGGACTGAGGCCACACAGCAAGTACATTTTAGGGCCAGGACTTGAACCCAGGCAGTCTAGCTCCACAGGGCTTTACACTTAACTGTGACACTGTTAGGTCTTTTTGTTGTTGTTGTTGTTGTTAATGTTTATTCATTTTTGAGAGACAGAGAAAGACAGAGCATGAGCAGGGGAGGGGCGGAGAGACAGGAAGACAGAGAATCTGAAGCAGGCTCCCAGCTCTGAGCTGTTAGTTCAGAGCCTGACCTGGGTCTTGAACTCGTGAGCCATGAGATCATGACCTGAGCCAAAGTCAGATGCTTAACCAACTGGGCCACTCAGTTGCCCCCATTGTTGGGTCTTTTGCAGGTGCTGAGAATGACTCCTTGGATTTCTAGGCCATCTGATGCCCGTGAGGCAGAGCTGCCAGCAGCCAGCCAGTCTCTAGGCTCCACAGGGGTCCAAGCCCCACCCCTTGCTCGCTCACCTCTCCCCTGCTCAGTGAAGGCTCCATGTACTTCTCGCATTTCTGTCTCAGGAGGAGACCTGACTTTCCATCCGAGCATCTCCCTCGTGTGGACTTTCAAACACTTGGTTTCATTCACTTCACCAAAAAAAAAACCTTGCTACAGAAGGGATTACCTGTCGTCCCCCACTCTGCAGGAGGAAGGCCTGAGGATCTAGGATATTGGGGGTAGTTTTCCCCAGACACAGCCCGAGCTCCCAGGCCCACTGAATTCAGAACCAGGCTTTTACTAGCACGTTATGTGGAGTTGCAGCCCACGTGGCCTTAACCGTGATGTTACAAACAACAAAACCCAGCAGCCGGTGTTGTGAGCACGTCGGCGTGGGCCGGGCAGGCCTCCGCATTCTGCAGGTGCTTCCATTGTGTCCTCTGGGCGCCACTCCTGGTAAACGCCGGTACCATCCCTGCTTTATCCAGGAGGACGCCCAGACTCAGAGATGTTAAGTAACTCGCGCAGTGTCACACAGTATGTAAGTGGTGACACTGGGATTTGTTCTGCAAGAGTCCAGAACCCCAACCTTGCTATCCTGACCCCAGGTTCCATTTTCTAGTTTCTAAGTCACTTTCGCTCTCATGATTACATCTAGTTTTCACAAGAACAGTATAAGCAAGTGCTGTCTGCAGTTAGGCGCAGAGGAAACCAGCCCTCAGAGAGGTGAAATGGCTGGTTATATAGCCGGTAAGTGGCAGGCTTCCTAAAGCCGCTTCAGGTGTTCCTTCCACTACAGAAGAGTCACCTACTCACCCCGCAAGGATATTGCAATGATTAGAAAGGTTTTATGGTGGGAGTTATTTTAAAATGTAGGGAGCACTACATATATATGAGGCGAACCATCATCGGTAGCTTGGCACAGGTGGGCAGGAAGGCAACAACCCTTTTTGGGGAAGGCCCATGGAGGTGGTCATCTGGCTCCCACTCACCTTCTAGAGTTGCATCGCCCCCAACCCCCTGATTGGTGCTGCAGAGGAGAGGAGGCAGGCTGGGCTGAAGCAGGCAGTATCTCCGAAACCAGCCCCCTAAAAGTCAGACCATGCCTGCCAGTATACAGAGGCTACTAATGCTTATTGATTCTGTCACCAAAAATTTATTTGTTGAAATAAACATGTCAGGACCCAGCTGCATTCTTGTGAGGGCTCCATCAGTGGATAAAAGAGATAAAGTCCCCTGTTCCTTTGGAATTTACATTCCATGAGGGGAGACGGATAATAGACAACAGTGCGACAA